TATATGTTTGAAAATTCCAGACAGTCATTGCCTTTTAAACGTTAATCTCAAATGAATGAAGAAATGTGACTTAACAATCAATATGAGGTGGGGCATTCGTTCATAGTTTCTAATTACGTTTTTGTGTAATAGCCATCGCGCACACACACTCACTCGCACACTACATTGACCAACATTGAGGCTTTCAAAATCTTTTCCCTAGTGGCTAATACTTGGGAAGAAAGTAGGGTTGGAGGAGGTTGGCAATGGGGGCTTGGTTTTGGGTTTTTTTTGTTTTCTTTTCCACAAAGTTTTTTAGTTTCAAATAGAGATTACAATAAAACAGAAACTATACTTGAATAACTACAAAGGTATAGACAAAGAAAGCAGAAAATAATGTAGGAATTACATATGATAAAATATAATATTTGGGAATGATCAACCCTGGAAGACATAAATGGAATCATATCAATAGCATTAAAGTAGTAATAGAGTAAACCATTGAACCAAAAATAGAGGGCATCGCTTAAATTCGACTCTTGGAATCAAAGCTCCAAACAAAAACAGGGATACAGGGATTCTGCCCAATGAGAACAATATGTCGAGACAGATAAGGACAGAATGATCCTTTTTTTAAATCAAGGATCAATCTGTCTATAGCCACACACATGTAGAGCCATGATGTGATCTACTTCAATAACATCGTTCATTACTGTTGCATTATGCAGAGTAACTACGTTCTTAGTGCTCGGTCCCTAAGCCCCAAGCTTCTGGCCTGAGAATGCATAGTACCCTTTGAGTTGTGACCTAAGACCTCTGGGATGTGCTGACACCTGGGTGTACATCATTGACAGTTCCCGGATTCACTGGCCAGCAGGTACCCCAATAACAGCCATTTGTGGAATGCAAAGCTGTATTTATTAATGGCACGGTAGCTTTGTAAAGGATTAGTGCACCTAGAAATGATCCCAGTTTTCTTTGAATGTGGCAAATTAGAGACACCATCATATGGAGACTCTTCCCAGACTTGCCTGCGCACTATCCTTGTTGGATTCTTTCTTCAGATTCTAAGACAAAGCAGCAGTAACCACAGAAGGATATTATCACCACACATATAACTACCGGTATGAGTAACCTCATCAGCATGGACCTAGAATATGAAATGAGTTTTGGTGGACTGACCCTGAAAGCTGTGGGGTGTCCTTAACTTGCTATTTTGTGTTCCATGGCTTACTTACTATTAAGTGATACATGGCTAGAAGCACTTAGGATGAATCCATTACTTGCATCAGCTTATTCCCTTATTTATTTTTTTCATTCTGTTCTCAGGTCAACAGAGCCAGCAGCAGAACGCGCAGCCAGACTACAGCAAGGCATGGGAGGAGTATTACAAGAAGCAGAGTGAGTTTCCTTATCACTATTGCCATGTGCTGCTCTAACCTGGACTAAATGCATTCATCTGGACACCGTCCTGTATGGAGATCAATCCGCAATCTTTAGACTGTGTGCTTCTTCCTGGCTCTATCCCTAAGCTCTCCTGCTGTTGATACTTAGTACTTATTTCCTTTTTCCTGTCTATTTCAGCCCAGGCTGCCAGCGCCACTTCACAGCCAAGCTCCCAACCAGATTACACGATGGCATGGGCTGAGTATTACAGACAACAGGCTGCATATTACGGACAGTCACTGGGCCAGGGGCAAGCCCACAGCCAGGTAAAACCCTTTGTGTCCCTGCGAAAGTCTGTTTAGGGAAGAATAGTGTTCTAAGAGGAAGTGTCTGTAGCCCCCAAACAACCAGGTTCCAGCTTATTTCCCAGAGTCGAGGAAATAAAAAAGAGGCATGGGTTTGGTTTTGGTGGAATCCTGTGCCCCGTCTCCCATCACAGTTAGGGCAAGCATTTGTTTTGTTGAAGGGAGGTGGGTAGGAAAGCTCAACTTCTCATTTAGAAAACAAATCTTATTTTGGAAGTGTAATATTGAGACCCCACTTGCCAGTTACAGGACCACAGTTGCTACAATGTTCTATTCTGATACTGTTTGGGGTTACTACCTGTCATGAAAGTATTGAGGAGAGGATAAATGTTGTTGCTTTCCACATTTCCATGCAGACCGAGCTGTCTGGCAGAAGTGACGGCTTGACGCTTGTCCCATCTGCCTGATGGGACTTTTTAATTTTTTTTTAAATAACACTCGGCCCATAAATTAATACTGCTCACTAAATGACTCAAAAAGCCTGAAGGGCGGTTATTCATTTTTCTTTAAAAAAAACAAACCACAAGACAGCCAGTTTTTATTGTCTAGTTGGTTTGTTATATAATATATTAGTATTTCCAATCAGTAATATTTACAGTAAGACATTTCTGACATCCCGAGTTCTGAAGGGCCGGGCCATTTGGCAACTGAAACTGTTATGTTGAATATATCGCCTATATTTTTAAGCTTCTGTTTTATAAATTGTGTTCTGGAGCAATTTTTCGGTTGGACAGAACCATATAAATAATTTTTTTCTTCAATCTACATTATCAAAAACTTTTTATTTATATTAATAGCTTGTTCCCAGTATGGTGTGCATTTTTTTTGCACAGAACCACATTTTTTTTCTTCTAAATTATCAGAAACTTTTATATTAATAGCTTGTTCCCAGTATGGAGTGCATTTTATTTGCACAGAACCACATCAATTTTTTTTTTTACATTATCAAAAACTTATATTATTCCCTTGTTCCCAGTATGAAATGCATTTTTTTTGCACAGAATCACAAATGTTTTTCTTCTACAGTATCAAAAACATTTTATATTAATAGCTTGTTCCCTGTATGGTATGCCTTTTTTTTTTTTTTTTTTTTGCACAGAACCACAGATATTTTTCTACATTATCAAAAACTTTTTGTTTATATTAATAGTTTGTTCCCAGTATGGTGTACATTTCATTTTTTTAACAATTATATTCCTTTTCTTTCCTGCAATGTGCTACGGCAAGTCGCAATGCATAGCACAAACTTTATTTTGCATCGCATTAGTGTACTGAAACCATTGAAAGCCAGGCTGTTTGCCTTGTACTTGTGTTGGGCAACGCTGCTGGTTGTGAATGAGCCTTAAATATAAAAAAAATAAGAGAAACATGCCAGTTAGTTGATTAACAGAGACATCAAAAAAAGAATACTGTTAAAATAATTTCTCCCTAAGTTTTTGCCTTTTACATTTTTCATTTAATTTTCTAGCTTCTCTTAAATCAGGCACGGCATTTTCTTTTCTTTGAGTACTTCGTAATTCAGTTTAAAAAGTAGTTTTAATAGATACGTCCTATTTTTATATTACATTTTTGCTTTTTTTTAAGTAAGTATAGTGTATGTTTAGTATAGTGTATGTTTGTTGCAGAGATTTTATCATTTGTGTCTTCATCCTCAATGATGATTTTTGTATCGTCACAAAATTTTTTGGAAGATTGACTTTACGTTTATTTTTATATAATAAAAGATGATTTTATTCCTCATTTTCACGCAGTTTTTTTCTTGTTTTGCAGGAGCAGTAGAACAATTGTCCAGTTGATTTTTTCTCCCTTTGGAATCATGGCAGGAGAAGAACCTTAATTTGTAACACGTACATAGATTTGACAGCGTTTGAGGAAGACTTCTTTGTTTTTACAACACTAGTCCTAGAGTTAAATCTATACTGAACTTTGCTAAGAATCAGGATTCTATAATAAAACTAAAGATTTACATGTGCTGGGTTTTTTTTTTGTTTTTTTCTTTGCATTTTTGTTTGCTACCCTTGAAAAAAAAAAGTGTTAACATGAATTCTTTTTGGAACCGATTACATTGAAGAAAAAAAATTCAACCAAAAAAAAAAAAATTGTATGTAAATTTATATTCCTCCACTGTGTACCCCTGCCCCCCCTTGGTGCTGATATTACAAAATATTTGTCTCATTTTTTTTTTTTTTTTCGGTGTAGCATTTTGTCTATTGGACAGTGCAGCTTGGAGGTCTTATCATAAAAGTGAAACAAAAATTTATTGATTAAAAAGTGTATACCACCTCTAAAAATTTTTAAATGTGTATTTAAATATTCTTAACTGTAAATTCTTTAAATGTTTTACGTCTAATTTTCTCTGGTATTATTATGACTGTATTTGATTTTATTGCATTGTTTTTTGTTATATTTTTTAAAGAGAATTATCAATCTGTTACTTGGAAATGATTGTTCATTCTGAAAAGTGAATATATGAATCTATTTCTTGAGACAAGTATTGCGTGTAGGGGTTATAAAGGGAGGGGGGAGCAGGGCCATATTTTGTAGGCTTTGTTTGTATAATAACCAGGGTTTTGAAGGGTTAATATAAAAAAAATGATTGTTAACTCCTCTTCTTCCAAAGGGAATTGCTATGCATCGCAGTGCAATGTAACTCAACTCCCTCTGGCAGAGGAGGGGTGTATTTTATAAAGCAATGTTTATCAATTATTCAGTTGCCTATGTACATCAGGCCTCCAAACGATAAGAAAATTACCTTTTTTTTTTCTTTTTTTTTTTGTGCTGTCAGAAAAAAAAATACTATTATTTTTAATATGAAAGAATTCAGCTGTTGAAATCTTTAATGTAAACACTGTGGAACATTTAACAGTATGCAGAAGTTTAAAAAAGAATCATTATAACTATTTTTTAACTCCAGGGTTTGTTTTTTGTGTTTTTGTTTTAAATATTTTCATATCTAATTGTCAAATTTATCATAGAAAATAAATTCTAGTATTAACCACAGTATGTGCTAAAAAAATACTTTTGATTTAATAAAAGGGATATGATTTTGAATGTTTGTAGTTTTTAATTTTTTGTCATGTACAGATGACCTGTATTTTTTTTTTTTTCTTTTTAAACGGAATACAAGCTATTTTTATTTTTTTTGTGTGTGAATTAAAAAATTTAATCCATGGGAACATTCCGTTTTTTGGAAAAAAGGGGGCTGACTTTTACTTTTTGGTTTTGTTTTTTCCTTTTATGCCTAAAAATTGTTTAACTATTAAAAAAAAAAATCACGATTGGATAATATTGAGTATGTTACAGAGAAATGTCTTACCTGACAACTGCATTTTACACTCTATATAATAAAAAGGCCACAGGTCTGCTTGTGGAATAAAATGTTTTTGTCTGTTTAATTTTGACAGTTGCTAACATTTTTATTGTGCATCAGACACTTAAAACACACAAGAAATATTTAGTGCAGAGTGATGGTAAATTGGGGAGGATCTTAGAAAGGTAACATCATTTCCAAATAGTTTATGGAATGTCCTTGAGCTGGAGAGAGTCCAGAGAAGGGCAACCAAACGCATTAAGGGGATGGAGGACCGAAGCTATGAGACGAGGTTACTAAATCTAAACATGTTCACGCTGGAGGTGCGGAGATTAAGAGGGGGGGGGGGGCATGATTTGGATGTACAAGATGTTGAACATCAGCAATAAACTTTTTACGGTCAACTCCATAACAAAGACTACAGCAGCGGTCGTCAACGATAACATTTTGGTGGGCCCCTCTGATGCCGTGCAGGCTGGGCCGTCATTGAAGCGGCACGGATGCTCCGGGGCCGCCTCTCACTGACTCAAGCAGCGGCTGTCACAAGGAATGTGCGGCTCTCAGCACAGGCTGCCCGTGATCTGAGAAGCAGCGTGTTCCTTATAGCCGTTGCTGCGGTTTGTCTTCCCGTACATTGCAGGAGGCCGGGCATCTCGTCTGTACACGGACTGAGCAGGCTGCGGGACATAGAAAAAGTGGGGAGAAGCCAGGTAATAGTGGCTCAGTATGGGGGAAGGGGTGGTTGGGGGCAGTGAAAGGGTTGGTGACACCAACACCTAAAATTGGCCAACACCTAAAATTGGTGGAGAAAAGATTTCAGCGCTAGGGGCTTCTCGGATCGGTTAGGGTTTGGAACTCGCTGCCACAAGCAGTGGTATCAGCTGAGAGCGTTGATTCATTCAAAAAGCATTTGGACAATTTCCTCAGAGACCGGAACATACAGGGGTACAGGTACCCTTACAAATAAGATCACATGGGGACTGGTACACACGCATACACATGTAGAATCACATACATACACACAAAGGTTGAACTTGATGGATCTGTCTTTATTCAACCTCAAATACTATGTAACTATGTTTATTTTATTGTAAACCAGTGTTGGCTTAGGGAAGAACTGGATGGTTTCTTTCTCCTATTGATGATCTTATTTAGGAGGGGGGAGGGGCAGGGCACTCTACATCTTCATTGGCATTGCTGCTTTAAAGGGTGGGTTTGCTGTCTAATGGCCAGCACGTACAGTACAAAGCCTGTGCCATCAGTGCAAGTCACTTTTATTTTAGCTTTGCCCGGTACTCATTAAACATTTTTTGAAAGAAATCCCTTAAAATACATCTACAACCAATAAAAAAAAGTTATCTGTTGCAGCTTATCACTTTTGTTATCAAGCCCAGAACATTTTCTGCAAGTACAGAAAAATACCTGTTGATCCCGATAACATCGCTTGCAAGTTACAAGAACACTGGAATTCTATCGGCTTTCCCAGATAACTATTGTGAACTACAGAACTCCTCTGCCCTTATGTAAAGGAGGAAACGGTGTTTGTCGTCCAATCAGGAGAGCTGCCTTGTGTGACAAGTACAGTACAGAGAGAACATAGTCACCCTAGGACATGAAGTGTGTTAAGCTGCCCATACACCTTGCGATCGTCGGATGAAACTATTTTTTGTACGGCCCCGATTATCGCAAGGTTGGATCAGCGGTAATTAAAAGTAAGCACCTGGGCGAATTGCGGGATTCGACCGCATGTATTTTTGTACGTGCAGTGTAAATCGTACGAATATTGACGTACGGAAATGCCACCAACCTTGCGAAAATCGTACGATCGACTGAAGTTTTCTACCCTGGTTAGTCAAGTCGATCGATTGTACAGTACTGTATTTGCGGTTGTACGCTGCCCATCAACCTTACAAATATCGGATGAAAACGCGATCGCATACGAAAATCGTCCGATAGTCGTAAGGTGTATGGGCAGCTTTATTGGCAGGATCACCAAGTGAATATAATGAGAAAAATGCCAGACTGGCAAGCTACAATATATATTTTTGGGGGGTTTAGCGGCACTTTAAGGGTGCCCATATATCAGTGATTTCAGGTCTAATCAGGTGGGTCTAACAATAGATGGCAGGTTGAAAGGGTTATACCAGCTGATCAATATCTGATTGGGAAATCTAGTCATATGATACATTTATTATAGTATAATCATTCAATTGTTTTCAGTATAATACGCCCAAATCCTTTTGATTGGACCATACATCTGTGACAGAACAGGGCACCTGTTTTTGAGATGATCAAATCTTGGCTTGTATCCCCCACTTCACAGCTATTTAAATCCATCCCTGGCCCAGAGGAAAAGTCTTACATTGGATTTCACCCAATCTTCTGCTTGAGGTGTGACGCATTATGGGGGCTGCTAGATGTCTGGCTGTAATGCTCACTCTCTGGGTTCACTTTTATTTGAATCATTCAGATCAAGAAAGTCTAAGAAAAATGGATCGTTATCTGCAAATATGTTTTGTCTTAGGCCTTGTTCACACCAAGAGCGGAGCAGGTGCAGACCGGATCAAAACTGCGTCCAATGTATTCCAATGGTACTTTTTGCTCCAGTTCACATCGCAGCATGCAGTTCCTCAGCAGGTAAAAAAACTGCAGCAGGCCCTATTTTACCTGCTCTGGATCTGCAAATGCATGCAAATGCCTGGAACGCACTGAAAGGCCATTTTAAACTTTAAAAAAAATATTTATTTTTTTTAAAGCCAAAAACGCATCTAAAAGACTAGCGTGCGTGTGCAGAAACCTGACCGGATCTGCTCTGCATTTGGTGTGAACAAGGCCTTATAGACTTAAAGTATAAATCCTTGTGGCAGCCCTGCAACTTATCACTGCAGTAAGAGAGGTCTGCAATGGCAGCCTGCTTGTTTGTTTCCTTTGAGCATCATTTGGCCAGGAAAGTGAGCAAAACTTTAGATGTGCAGTCACCGAATGACCACATTCATTGCTATTGATGCAACATGTAAGTTTGGCTCATGTGCAGATCGCTCATTCAGCCATACATGTGCTACCCCCTTTTTAAAGTTATAATGAAGTTCATAGCAGCCATTTTTTTTCCCCCAGTGGTCTCTCAAGCCAAGAACATCATACCATACCTTGTCTGAGGATTGTTCCAAAGCAGATATCAGGAACAGAAGCCAGAGTGCTGACAAATTCCAACCTGCTAGTTGCCATATTTCCTGGTAGAGACCTGCTCCAATAGTAGAACTGCAACATAACTTAATGCTAACAGTGCAGCGCACATGTAAAATCCATATGTGGGTTCTATTTTACCTGCCAAAGGTTTTGCTTTTTGTATTCTGTGCAGCCAGCCATGTGGGTCAGCCACCCTGCCAGAAAGTCCTTGATCGCCACTGCAGTATCTGCATCTTATAAAGAATCTCCATCCCTTTGCTGTCTCCCAAGCACATGTGCACTGCAGCAAAGCCTTGATTGGCTCTTAGTGTTGACCTTCACTACAATGAACGGGCTGAAACAAAAACTATTTTAGATGCTTACACGAAGTGCATTTGAAATAAATGTTTAGTAATTGTATAACTGCATTGTTTGGTTCTATATCTGCCTGGTGTTCATCATTAATGGGCTTTCATTTATGAAAGAAATGTCCTGCCCGTAATGTGTATGGTTCTCAGGAACATAGGAAGCCCGTCGGTCTCATTGTGTAATATTGGATAACAAAGGACAACAATTGGATGTCAAGCATTACAGCATATGTCATTACACTACTAGGTGTGCTTGATCCCTGAAAAGTCTCCTCCCACTCCTTGTGCCTTCCCTTTTGCCATCCAATGAGATAAGCTGTTTCATTGGCAGAGGGACTGGAGGAGGGGGGGGGGTAAGGGATAACCACAGAAGCTGTGCTACATATAAGTATAACACAGTGCCCAGTTTTAGGGGATGCCTGGGCATTGTGAATATCTAAGGAG